TTCGTTCTGGCGTTGATGGGCAAGCTTGTCGTCTTCGTCGTTCCCTCTATGGCTTGAAACAGGCCCCCCGTTGCTGGTTTGCCAAGTTGACTACGGCTTTGAAGCAGTATGGTTTTTGTCAATCCTATCACGACTACTCTCTTTTTACACTGCATCGTGGTTCTGTCCATCTGCAGGTTCTGATCTATGTTGATGATCTGATTGTTTTTGGGAATGACACCACATCCATTGCGGCCTTCAAGAGTTACTTGAGTCGTTGTTTTCACATGAAGGATCTTGGATTGCTTAAGTATTTTCTGGGTATCGAGGTTGCCCGGAATTCTTCTGGATTCTTTCTCTGTCAGCGGAAGTATGCTCTTGACATCATAGCTGAGGTCGGATTACTAGGGAGCAAGCCAGCTGATTTTCCATTAGAGCAGAATCATCAGGTACCTCTTGCTGAGGGTGATCTATTGTCTGATCCCGAGCGATATCGTCGTTTAGTCGGACGTCTTATCTATCTGGCAGTGACTCGACCTGAGTTATCTTATTCGGTGAATATGCTCTCTCAATTTATGCATCAACCGCGTCAGGCTCACTGGGACTCTGCTCTGCGTGTGGTTCGATATTTGAAAAGCTCTCCTGGTCAGGGGATTCATCTTCGTACTGACTACGATCTTCAACTCTATGCATGGTGTGATTCGGATTGGGCGTCTTGCCCTCTCAGTCGGCGCTCTCTTTCTGGTTGGTTTATTCAGTTGGGCCAGTCTCCTGTTTCTTGGCGAACCAAGAAACAACCTATTGTCTCACGCTCTTCTGCTGAGGCTGAATATCGGGCGATGGTTACTACATTGTGCGAGTTGAAGTGGTTGCGGGGACTATTATCTACTCTTGGTGTCGCTCACTCTCAGCCTATGCGGTTACACTGTGACAGTCAGTCTGCACTGCATATTGCGGCGAATCCAGTTTTTCATGAGCGGACTAAGCACATTGAGGTGGATTGGCACTTTGTTCGAGATGTTGTTCTTCAGGGCCTCATTTCTACTACTCATGTCCCTTCTGGGGAACAGCTCGCTGACATCTTCACCAAGGCGCTTGGGAAGCGCGAATTTGATTTCTTTCTTGGCAAGTTGGGCATTCGGAATCCGCATGCTCCAACTTGAGGGGGGGTGTTATTGTGTATATTTGTGTAATTACTATATTAGCCTTAGGTTCTCTTTAGGTAACTGTAGCCCTAATTTTGTGTATATATATTCATAGTTAATAGAATGTTGAATCATCCGATTGAGATGATTTCACCCCAAAACTTTGTGTCGTCTCTCACCGAGCGGATTCACAGAGTGGTGGTGTTGGTGTGTGTGTATCCGCTTTGTCTCTGTAAAGTCTGAACTTTTGCGGTAGTCTGCTCTACTTTGCTTGAGGCGCTTATGCCGGACTTGAGATACACGCCATCGCCACATAAATATATGTACCTCTTTCTCTCACACAGACACTTTTGTGACGTCTTTATAACTTGTAGTCAATAATATTTATATCGATACTCTCAACACTTTTGACTGAAAATGGGGAAAAATACTACACTTTTACTTGAGAGGAAATATGTATTTCATGTTTGGATATTTAAATTTAATTAAGTTTGTATGATTAGGTGTTAGCGAGATCTGGATTTTATAAGCTATTGTATAATAGAATCCCCTTACTTAAAATCCTATTAGAGCACCCACAATATATTGGGTCTAATTTTACATATGTGGCATATAAATAGACTTAAGTCCTAAATGACATGGACAAACTCAAGTAAAAAAACTCAAAAGCTATTCAATGCAAAAATAATATACTAGGTCTAGCATACATGTCAACCAATAAAAATGCTCTAATATGTTTCATTTATTAAAAATAAAATAAATGAGAAATAAATGATGAGTGTTTGGGTTTGTACTTGGGTCCAAAATAGACCCAAGTGTGAACTTGGTCTCTTTTTTTTATTGTCACATAAGCTAGACCATGTCCATCTTTGATTGCATTGGGAGGCATTTTTTAATATACTAAGTCTATTTCCTATGTGGCATAGGATATTTTATTAAGAGATCCAATGCATTGTGGGTGCTCTTAAGCGTGGGAAATCCAATCTCTCGCTCTTCGAGAAAAAGTCCCCTTTGTGAAGATTAAATAATTTTAGATCTAGATGCGCCTCCTTGTTGCCTCAACTCCTTCCTCCTCCTCCGCGCGGCCCGTGCTGAAGGTCGACAACCTCGTCCCCTCCCCTTGTGCGCCCCTTGCGAGTCGTGACCGGCGTCAGGCGGGTCAACCTCCTCGGCGGTTTGGAATGTCAGTTTTTTGCCCTTTCAGGTCGAAACCGACAGGAGTCAGGCGTGTGGCCGTCCGACCTCTCTGCGGTTCAGGCGTCAGCCGCGTCACCGCTGAGGCTCATCCTCCTCCCTCCCTTTTTTTCCACGATATTTGTCTCACGGGTTGGCCTCCCGGCAGGGTGCGACTTTTCTTCCTTTTGTTTGGGATGGGTGGATAGGGTTTGCAGCCTTTAGGTGCCGTATGAAGGTGGTCGTTAACACAGAAGGCTTATTCTGGGTCGAGAGTTTATGCTCTAGCTAGCCATAGTTATTTTGGAGTTTGGAGTTTCTGAACTGATGTTCTTGGCTGAGATCGAGCTTTCCTTTTAGATTATTTTCGTTTTGCTGCTTTAAGAGGTGTAGTTTAGGTGTTGTTAGACAGTGGTGGGGAGGGTTTTATTGTATTATTTAGGTGTGTGTGGTAGTTTGTCCGAGTTGCGTGTTTTTGTGCGTTTCGGTTTTTCTCTCCCTTTGGGAGTGTGTATTTTGTCGCCTCCCTTCGATAGGAGTATTTCCGTTCCCCTTGTGGATTCTTTTTAGTATCTTTGGTGTGAGTGTTTCGTGAGTTTTGTTTATTTGACCGTGAAGGGTCATGTAGGGAATTTCTAGTCTAGGCTAGTAAATGTTATCAAGTGTAATCTGTTGATTACCGGTTTGCACTTCTGGTGTGTGGTAATACAATTTGATGTTTAGGCAAAAGAGAGAGAGAGAGAGAGAGAGAGAGAGAGAGAGAGAGAGAGAGAGAGAGAGATCCGGATTTTATATTAAAATAATAATCAAAATAAAATGAAATTGATTTGATGAAAGTAGAAAAGAGTTGATGTGAAGTGATAGTCAGTTAGAACATGTTTGTATACAAAAATATCCACTTAAATTGAGTTCTTTTGATTAACCATAGTTAATTTTGGAGAAAGAAAAAGTGCTATGGTTAGTTGTTAGTGAGATTTTAATTTTATATTAAAATATTATTTAAAATAAACTAATTAAAGTGGATTTGATTTAATAGTACGAGAGTAATGATTAGTTAAAACAATGTGAATTAATATTTAGTAAAGTAAAGTTAATGTGACGTGTAATAATGATTGGTTGATATTATTTAATTATATTGATAATATTGAGGATAGTAGAGTTTGTGTTAAAGTTGAGTTAGATTTTGGATTTGAATTAAATGAGAATTTAATATTTTCATATATAAACACACTCTTAGCATCTACGACCCAGAGTCGTTGTTTGGCACAGACCCGAGTCCCCTGGGGTTAACCTAAATACCGATAGATCTTTCGACCGACTTACCGGAGTCGCTGGAGGTGGGGGCCTGATTAGGGATCACAACGGAGCTCTCATTACCACCTTTCACACCCCTCTTCAGGCCTCCTCGAGTTACGACTTAGAGGTCAGACGCTTCAGATTGATTTTTAGATCGCAGTCTGTATCTCCTCTTACAGTTGGATAGAGTTGAATGATGTTTACAGTCGGATAGAGTTGAATGATGTCGTAGTCACCACCCACTTGACCTCCGGCCACCAGGCTCGTCGCAAATTTAGCATCTGCTCAGGCGCAACATATCCACACTTCAGTAGGTTAGCTGCCAGATCTTGCACATCTTCCACGAGGGGAACCGTCCCGCTGATTTCCTCGCTTGCATTGGTGCCTCCTCGCCTCATAGCCGCATCTTTCATCCTTGTCTCATATATATGAGTACTTACATTCACGAACATGGTTGGTCATATTTTGGCACACAAGCGTAGTGGTTGAGATGGGCTAAAAGGATGTCTTATGTAGGTTATGAGGCTCAAGCCAAAGTTTGACTTCCAATTTTAAAAATATTGTCGATGTGGTTTATTACTAGGATACTATTCAATTGAGTTCTTACACAAAACTTGGTGCCCCGATGATGTTTAACAATAGCAAATTTGTTAGTTTTGGTGTCGGGTATGTTTTGATTGTATTACTTATTTTAAACTTTTCACTACTTTTTATATCTTTTTTCGCGCATACACAATTTAATAACATGGATTCACTTTAACGCTTTCAAAAATTCACCACATACCGAATAATCTTCACCAATCATGTGTGCGTTAGTATTTCTTTGCAAATCAACAACAATTTTTTCTGACATGATGTATAATTTAGCAATACTAATTACAATACTGATTAAAATGAAATTTAGGTCTGGTTGTGGGCACAACAGTAATCCAAGTAATTTTATATAGGGGTGCACATTCAGTCGAAACCGAACCAAACTGACCAAATTTTTTTTATTCGAAAATTCAACTTATCCATTGTTAAAACCGAAATTTATAGCTCGGTTCGGTTTTTATCTGAAGATATATCAGTCAGCTCCATTAAGCTATCAGTTAACCAAACATATTCCAAAAGATTCGTAACCAAAACCCATCAAGTGAAATACCAAAATCCATTAATTGAACTTTCACAACCCACAACCGTGCAACTCAAATCAAAGACATGTCAATCAACAGAAAAAAAAAGAACAATCAGCAGGTAAAGAAGAAATAGAGCAATTGATAGAGAATTGAGAGTTTGAATTGGTTCAATTGAAATTCACCAAATCAGTTCAATCGAAATTGGGCTTTCCCGAATTTGTTCAATTGAAACACGACCTTGAGCCCGAGGAGCAGTCCATACGAGGGGATTTGGGTAGAGAACACATTGATGGAGTTCCACTTACTTGAGAAGAGGAGCTATCGAGTGCCGAGTAGGGCTTTGTCGATTTGGATGTGTGTCGGAGTGCGAGTGGCGAGCACCGAGCATGCGTGCGGGAGACGAAGTTAGGACTTGTAGAGTTGTGACTTGCGACTGAGTACAAATGTACATAGGTTCAGTTTATGAGTTTACTCATTTTGGTTGTAGGAAGAAGACTAAAGACGAGGATGAAGAGCAATACAATGGGCCTGAGTGGGTGGCATGCGAGTTGTGGCATGTGAGTGCTTGGGTGGACCGCATTTTTATTGCTTGCCTCAAAACATGGATTGAGTAATATTGAGCTTCTATAACTTATGCAAATAACTTCAGCTTTCGATTCGATTTTGTTAACCGAGTACATATATCCCAACCGAACAAAAAAATCACCATCTTAAAAAAACTATAAATCAAAAACCAAATTAAATATTGCATAACTTCAGCTTTCGATTCGATTTTGTTAACCGAGTACATATATCCCAATCGAACCAAAAATCATCATCTTAAAAAACTATAAATCAAAAACAAAATTAAATATTTAATTTCAATTTCGATCTCGTTCAAAATCAAATTGTTATTTCGATCGATTCAACTCAATTAATTGTATCGTGTGCGATGATAAATAAGTGAATTTTATATTTTACAAACCATAAAAAAGCAAGGCAGCCAAGTTATGCCACGTACCCTGACACTCAGGATCTTTCTAAACAAATGAAATAATAATAATAATAATAAAATAATCGCTCGCCTTCACCATTAAAATCCAATGTGCTCGCCAATACTGCGACGCGCTTTCAAATTTCTATTGGCTACCACTTGGCTTCAACCACTGATCTCACGAAAAGCGTCTCCGGACCAGGTGGACCACGAACACTGAATAACCACCTCTCGCATTATTTTTTACTGCACAAAATCTTCGCTACCCTGCTTTTCACATTTCATTTGCAAAACTGCCTGCTTTTTCTTCTCTGCATTTTCCTGCTCGTCTCTAGGGTTAGTATGCTCTCTCTCTCTCTCTCTCTCTCT